AAGGAGTGAGGGAGAGAGGGAAGGAGGGAAGGAGGGAAGGAGGCACATCTTGAGTGAGATCTTGGACGGGTGGGGAGTTTAAGGTGATTTACACACTCGTGGGTGATTAGAATTCCGCCTTAAATCAACTGTGGGTTATAATTATCTTCCTCAACACCAAATGGATTTTTACTTCGGGACGAATAACTGACCAGCGGATAGCGAAGGAAGGGAAGGAGGGAAGGAGAAAGGAGGGGGAGGGAGAGAGGAGAGGAATGAAAAGGGTATGTGGTTGGAAGTGAGATAGGAAGAGAATGTGAGAGAAATGGGGTTGGGGGGAGATGGGGTGAGAGACGAGAGAGAGAGAGAGAGAGAGAGAGAGAGAGAGAGAGAGGGGAACTATTATACTCAAAAGTTTATACTAATTACCACCATATGAACAGGTACAGGTATATAACGTACAGTACAGGTAAAAAAAAATACAGGTATATATTTTCCAACAAGCAATATAGTTTGACCTTCAAGATTATTATAACAAATGACATCCCCAAACACCATCATCCCCTTCACACACACACCATCATACCCCACACCACCACACCACCCCCACACCCCACCAAGATGATTTCTATAAACCAAGTGATTTATGAGCTAGTTTTCGACAGTTCATTACGGTCTAATAACACCTGAGGGTAGACGAGAGATGCTATCAGAGCCACCTTTCAAAAGGCGTGTTACCGGAATAAAACATCCTTATTACTATGCAATTAATTATCAGTAGAGAGAGAGATGGGTGTTCGTTTGTCGTGTTCGTTTGTCGTGTTCGTTTTTGTGTTTTGTTTGTTTGTGTTTGTTAGTAGAGACTCATATTAACGTGTTTTCTGTCTGATGTGTTAATTAGAATTCCCTGGAGATTAGCCCCTTACACAGACAGACAGACAGACAGAGACAAACAGACAGACAGACAGACAGACAGATACACAAACAGACAGACAGGTAGACAGAAAGATATGACCTACAAAACCAAGCTCACTCTGTACCTGGTGGTCCCTGTAATAAACACAGCGACAGGTGGACACTGCGCCCCACCTCTCACCTGTTGAAAGTCATGCCCCTCCTGTGCCGACCCCTTGCCTAGTATCTACCTGTAGCTGTAGTTCATTACCTGTAGCTGTAGTTCATTACCTGTAGCTGAAGTTCCCTGTAGTTCATTACCTGTAGCTGTAGTTCATCATTAGTAGCTGTAGTTCATTACCTGTAGCTGAAGTTCATTACCTGTAGCTCATTACCTGTAGCTGTAGTTCATTACCTGTAGCTGAAGTTCATTACCTGTAGCTCATTACCTGTAGCTGTAGTTCATTACCTGTAGTTCATACTGTGACTATCAATTTGTTCATTACTATCTCCAGCTCTACCTTAGTTCATCTACATACACACACACACAGACACGCACACAACACACACACACACACACACACACACACACACACACACACACACACACACACACACACACACACACACACACACACACAGCGGCGGCTCACAACACTGAAATAGGAACACGAAACAACAGTGGCGGTGGCGGCTCCTAGCAACGATGGCGACAGCAATAAAATACGAAGACGGCGGTGTAGCAGCAGGAGGAAGGACCGGGTCGGGAGGAGGAGAAGGAGGAAGAGAGAGAAATGGAAGGAATAGGAGGAAAGGAGAAGGAGGGGTAGAAGAAGGAGAAAGAAGAAGAGGAAGAATAGAAACACAGTAATTGAAGAAGGAGGAAGAAGAGCTGTTGTAGTAGTTGGAGAAGAAGAAGGAGGAAAAAGGAGGAATAGAATGAAGAATAACAGAAGGAGGAGGAGGAGGAATATGGGGAATAGGAGTAAGAATAAAAAGAGAAGGAGGAGCAAGAGGGCGAGGAGTAAGGTGATGCTGTATTCTGAGAGAGAGAGAGAGAGAGATAAATTTGAGGCACCGCATCACGCCACGTAAATCATCTGCTGCAGTAAAACGCATATTGGGAAATTAAGCTACACCTGACAAGCCCCTTATTGCTGATTAGGATATGGTGAAGGTGTGGGAGTGTTGGTGAGGGTGTGGGAGTGTTGGTGAAGGTGTGGGAGTGTTGGTGAAGGGTGTGGGAGGCAGGAAGGTTTGGGAGGTTGGTGAGGGTGTGGAGTGTTGGTGAGGGTGTGGGAGTGTTGGTGAAGGTGTGGGAGTGTTGGTGAAGGTGTGGGAGTGTTGGGTGAAGGTGTGGGAGTGTTGGTGAAGGTGTGGAAGTGTTGGTGAAGGTGTGGGAGTGTTGGGAAGGTGTGGGGAGGTTGGTGAGAGTGTAGTGTTGGTGAAGGTGTGATAAAGTGAGTGTTAGAGGGGTGGGAGGTTAGAGGGGTGTGTGGTGGAAGGTGTGGAGGTTGGTGAGGAGTGTACAGGAGGGTGTGGGAGCAGGGTGGTGTTGGTGAAGGTGTGGGAGGTCAGAAGGTGGGGAGTGTTGGGTGAGTGCAGGAGGGTGTGGGGAGTGTTGGTGAAGGTGGGAGGTTGGGAAGGTGTGGAGGAGGAAGGTGTGGGAGTGTTGGTGAAGGTGTGGGAGTGTTGGTGAAGGTGTGGGGGAGTAAGCAGAAGGTGTGGGAGGTTGGTGAAGGTGTGGGGAGTAAGTAGTGAAGGTGTGGAAGAGTTAGTGAAGTGTGGAGTGTGAAGGTGTGGGAGTGTTGGTGAGGCTGGGATGCCCCCACAGACTAATTCAAGGTAGAACTAATGTGAATATTCGTCTCGGGTGAATTTTCAGAACTGTCGCTCTCATAACTCTTAATCTTTTATTATTTACGAAAAGTTTATTTACTAATCTAGAATACACAACTTTGTATTGTATGAAGTTTATTTAAATGTATTCTGGCTAGATAATGTTTGTTTTCAGTGGTGTGACCCCAGTGGTAGAACTAATCCATGGCGCGAAGAACCCAACCGATTGTGGAGTCTGGCCTTAGTTTCTCTACTGTGGCGAGTACATTTAGTTGCGCACAGCTAGATAGTGGCGTATGGGCGTGAAGATCTAAGTTGGTCTGTGGTCCAAGGAGATGCCGCGGGGTTGGCGGAGGCGCGGAAGGAACGGACGTTATCTGGCCTCGCGCCGTCACTGTAGACACAGCCAATTAGCTGCACCGACAGGAAAATCCATTTAGTGTCAATTATGGTGGGTAGAGCGCGGCCCGGCTCCTTACCTTCCACTCACCTCACAGCGGGGAGTCTCCTGCCTTGAGGCCACGACTCGACCCGCCCGTCCAGGATTCCTTTCCCGGCGTACTGGCTACTTTAGGACCTTTCTCGCCGCCATATCTAGCCAACCTTGACGCTAGTTCCCGCCTTTCTGAACTAACTTCTCGGCCTTACAGACTAGTCGTGGGCTTTATCAACTAGTTCTGGGCTTTTAATAGGAAAGTTCTGTTCTTTTTGTACTATTCGTGGTCATTGTTCCATCTAAACTAGTTCTCACTTTCCTTAACTAACCTTCGTTCTGACACTTCTAAACTAGTGTAGACGTTTATGACACTAGCCTTAGTCCTGGATAGATAAATAGACAAATAGACATGTAGAACTTTAAATGATGATTGATGGATAGAGACAGACAGACAGACAGACAGACAGAGAAAGAGAGAGAGATACGGATATACCTCAATAAATTAGGTATAAGTGAAGATGATGTACTGTAAACATTGCTTAAAAAAGGAATAAATTAATGTATGTAAATATTATCACTGTTGTGTATTTTTTATCATTATTAACAAGCACCTTGTTTCGAAGCTCCGCCCACTCATGACGTCATATTCGAAGCCTCTCAAAGCTCCTCCCATTCATATTCGAAGCCTCATGAAACACCAAAGTAAATACAACCCCAAGTGTTCTTGTTAGTGATCCATAAGTTATAATATTTTTTCCATGACATAAATAATAGTCTTTTACGAATGATGTTTCAAATGGAGATGCTTCAGGGTATTGTGAATGAGTAAGTGAGTGAGTCAGTGAGTTAGAGGCCTCGAAGCTTCAGTAAACTTGAGAATGACAGTAATCTCGCAGGTGTGGTCACGCAATGCTCACGCCAGCTCACTACACCCTCAACCTCCTGCCGGGCCGGACCACCTCGCTCCTGGGGCCTACTGACTTGTCTGTAGCAGCTAAGTACACATGATAGTGGTGCTGGAGGAGGGATAGTGCTGCTGGGGAAGGGATTGTGGTGCTGGACTGGAGAAGGAATTGTTGTGCAGGGGAAGTGATAGTGTGGCGGTGGTGATGCCAGGAAAGTGATTGTGGTGCTGGGGAAGTGATTATGTGGCAGTGATGGTGCTGGGGAAGCGATTGTGGTACAAGGGAAGTGATTGTGACAGTGATGGTGGAGCTGAAGAAGGGATTGTGGTGCCAGGAAAGTGATTGTAGTGCTAGGGAAGTGATTGTGGTTTTGAATGATTGTGTGGCAGTGTTGGTACTGGGGTATTGGTGTGGTGGTGCTAGGGAATATAGTTCAGACTACACATAACCGTTTCTACAGGTAGCACTTAATTATCTATTCAACAGGTGTTATGACTGGGTAATCCAATCAGTGTGTGGATGACTCGGGGTAATGTGTGGACAAGCGGCGAGAAGTCAGTATAACATTTAGTAAAAATCTGTAATATCTAAATTCTTGTTGGTTGAATGTATATAGAAATGTAATTAGTATAGTTATTAGGGGATTGGTATATCGATTATATCAGAAATTGGAGGTGTTTTTCATGGGTAAATTATAAAAAAAATTCTGGACTAAGATGATTCATAAAGCTTATTGATGCCATGACACTAGTTCATTTGTATAGTTTCTAAGATAACTGGTAATATAAAGCTTTCAAGATACATGTAATGGGTAATTGGTATGGTGTGTAAGATAAGGGTAATATGTAGAGTTAAGATATTATTAATTTGAAATCCCTCTAAACAACATTGCCCTAAAACCTTATTTATACCCAAGTTGTATTGACACAGGTGTATATACATTTCAGTACAGTGGTGTGGTGACTCAGTGGCAAGGTGATCTCTGTATATGACAGAGGCCTCAGGATCAACTCTCAGACTGACTGAAGACTTGCAGAAATGAACGAGACAGAGGCGGAATTTTTTTTAAGGTTTGTAAGTGTTTTATTTTTACCTTCGATATTTTCCTTCCATTAGTACCTGAATAAGTTTGATGGAAATATTACAAGAGATTATTGGTTTAGGTAGATGTTACAGTCCCTCCAAAAGTGTATCATTATATGCCACAGACACTTCTTTCAACACCATGCCACAGTGCACTGGAACGTACTGTAATGGCGTCTGGTGGCAACTACGAGGGTAAATGGTTAAGCCCCCCACCCACAGGCTTAACCACTAAATACTATTATTTAGCCAACATATTTACTTTACAGGTAGAAACCAAAACGTACATGTCCATGGAGGATGAGGACCACAACTTGGTATCCAGAAGACAAAACAAACTGGACGAGAGACGACCAAGAATACCTAAGAATTTTGGATCTGTCTCACATGTCAAGAAAATGTATGGTAAGTGTTAATGTCCACATGGTTACTGAAGAAGATTATAACAGTGTATTGTCTACAGACCAATGCAGAAACACTACAGGATTGAGGGAAGGACTTGCTGTGTGGTGTAGGAGTGAGGGAAGGACTCGGTGTGTGGTATAGGACTTTAGGAGTGAACGTAGGTAAGACTTTAATACACTGTTATAATCTTGTGTGGACGTTATCACTTGTGGTGACGTCACTACTCTTGGGTGCTGTTCCACCAATGTGCTAGACCCACTGGTGGTGACGTCACTGCTGTTCTACCAATGGGTGCCTCAGGTGACTTTAGCCCATTAAGAATACAGAAAACCTTTTACTTATTACGTCTCGTTTAGAAGTGATGTATGTCTAAAAAATGTGTTTTCCAATTTGTATGCGAGTCCTTTTGAAAGTATTGTTAATTTTTTAAAAATAAATTTTTCTTCATGTACAGTACAGTGTTTCACTTAGATTTTAGGAAAAAAATTTCGAGGTGTAAGATGATCACCTCAAACAAGGCAGTAGACATGGGCTACACAGGAAAGGAGAAATTTGCCTTTTTGTATTAATTTCCAACGAGATTTTTATTAAGTAAAGATAAATATACTAATAATTATAAATATAGAATTTATATACTAAGTCAATATTGATATTTATTTAGTTTATAAATATATAATTTATAAACTAAGTTAATATTGATAGATATATTTAAAGTTAAATATTTTTAATTTTTCAGATATAACTAATGCAATATTTTTAACTAACATTTTTAAGATTAAGAAAGTATCGGTATTCATCAGCTTTTGGTGGAGACCAAGTCGATTGTGTTGATCACTCAAACCAGGTGTTACCTGTTGGTATTATCAGGAGACAAAGTGTGTCCAGGGACCAATGAAAACTGGAGGTCATGTTAACCTTTATTATTACACCATATATAAGTATAAAGTCCAGTCACGGGTAACTATGATGATCAGAGAGAAGCGAGGTCACTGCAGGAGGTCTACTTGGAGAGGTTAGGTCACTGCAGGAGGTCTGCTTGGAGGGGTTAGGTCACTGCAGGAGGTCTGCTTGGAGAGGTTAGGTCACTGCAGGAGGTCTGTTTGGAGAGGTTAGGTCACTGCAGGAGGTTGCTTGGAGAGGTTAGGTCACTGCAGGAGGTCTGCTTGGAGAGGTTAGGTCACTGCAGGAGGTCTTAATACGTTAGGTCAGGTCACAGTGTAACGACCACGGTCGTACACGTCAGTTAACGCCAAAATCAAATGATTCATATTATGCTCAATAGCCCACAAAACATGTACCTCTGCGTTTAGTTTGAGTCCTCCATCTGAGGAGTCCGTTTTCTCATCACTTCAAGACGCCTCAGTCCTCCGTTATCCCATTTTCTCTGACTTACTGAAACCAACCTCTCTATATAATGTATTTGAATGTGAGAGAGAACACCTTTGTTTTGAGTCAACTTAGATATGTCTGTTTACAGTTGGAACATTCAAGATCCATTGTGAGTGGTGTTGAACGCTTCAACTGTCCTTATTGTTAGTAAGACGTGTCAAGTAGGCGAGTGTTGAGTTTGCCAGTTAGAGTGGCGTATTTTAGGTCGTCCGTGGGGATATCCATGGGTTTCTGATCGCGCCTGAAGTTAGATCATTTTATCGCCCTGACATCAGAGAATCTGATGTTTGTAGTTTAATTAGTGTCAGTTATCTATTTAAGAAAGTCATTAATTTCCTGAACTATTCTGTCAACTGGTATAATCTCCAAGATCTAACGTCTCCCTGTGAATAGTTCCTTGTTCGCTGCAGGCCTGAGCTTGCAGAATTATTGTTATCAACGTGTATATTCCACCTTTTCCTGGCAAGCTCAACCTCTGATTAGATTATATGAATAGACATAGGAAATTACCCTGATCCGGAACACCGGAGTTCATAATTAAATATACGGTGATCCAACATGGTAGAGAAGGTATGTTGTTGGTAAGATTGACCTTTCTGGCATGAATATGGAGGCCCAAGCTGCCCAGCGGGGGCACGTATATACCTCTACACGAGGGAGAATCACGCATTCGTGACTCTTCTTCCACGTCTACAGGTATGTTCACGTGTGTTCCACGCCGCCATATTAACTCAGTTTAACTTAGTCATTTTTGCGAATATCAGTGTTCATGTTTCAACATAGTACCTTCAGTGCCAATTAAGTCAAGTAAAGTAGAGCTCTAGCTATCGTCTGAACCGGTGCCAGACGTATGTTTTGTATAGTGAAGTTAAATATTCACGCATTCGTGACTCTTCTTCCACGTCTACAGACGCTGTTGTGGGGGTTAGCAACACTCCTGAGGTTCGGGAGCCGCCGATGGGCTAGCGAGCGAGCCTGTAAACAACTCTGGCCCACTGACTCGGTCATATGATCATGGTCTACCTACTGGTCTTGGTTATATGTATGGAGCCGTATTAATATCCATGCTTAGGGATGACTAGCAGAAATATAGTCATCCCAGGTTAAGTATTGAACCACTGAATGAGAGTTCAAGGTACCAGGTTGTTCCTTGCAAACTAACAGGAGGTATTGTATGTTACTATAATTGTGGAGTTAGTCCAATGTGTTATGTATTCATCTGTAGTAATCATGAACGAATAACCTGAGAGTATGATGTTCTAACCACGAATTGAGAAGGTAATTTGTTCCTTGTTAAAGTAAGACCTGCGGGTCCAGGGTTATTGACAGTGTGTAAGCATTTCTAAATCTTACTTGTCACAGAAATACTACAACAGTATCCAATAAAGTAATGAATATTTGGAGGTGTTTAATGAGGTAATAAGTCCTTGAAGTGTTTGATGACTTAATAAGTTAATTTCGGTTCTGTTTAGCCTGAGTGAATCTAAGATGCATCTTCTCCACTCACTGTATTAATAAATATTGAGTTAGTAATCTGAGTATCACCACTCTACTCCTTCTAAACATTGGTTCCCAGAAAATAATACTTACTCACGTGCCTATACATCTACCACACTACCCAAAACCCTTCCATGAGTTCTGTTATATAATGAAAAGTCTGGGTGGTGGCAGCTACCCCTTGTAAGTATAAAAAGTGTTATACAAAGAATAACATGGTTCCCCAGACTAACCCATGTATAAGAAAGACATAAAACAAAGTATACTTCAGAAAGGTAAGAACATTGAAACTGAGAATACAATCTATATGAAAGGAAATGAAAAGAAAGAACCTTGACTTGGAAAACATAAGTAGAGAAGCATAAGAGTTACTTATATAAGAATATATGAGAATATAAGGTATATAGAGGTAAAGAACATATAAGAATATAAGTAAGAACATATAAGAATAAATATATACGTAAAGAATGGAAGGAGAATAAGTATATTAAACAGGGTACTCATTGGAGGAATGCTACACAGAACAAATAAGTATATGAGTAAATAGAATACTACAGAAAACAGTAGCTGGATGGTAAATTATTGAAAAGAGAAAACTCGGCCCGTTACAACAGATCTTCAAGACCGTTACACAAACTCCATACACCTGAAAAAGAAAGTATAAATATATAACTGGTTCAACATCTGACAAGTTTCAACTAATATTTCAATAAATCCACTGATGTGCATTAACAAAATATTACTTTACTTCTAGATAAAAATTTACGGGGGCTTATTAACAAGAAACTTTACCACTTCCAGAACATTAATAAAAATATACAACTAAATAATGCTGCAGTACTATAAAACATTTTTAAAAACCGAGAAAAGGTAAAAACGCTAGTGGTAATCAGAAAGTGTTACTAAAAAAAATTATATTTACTATATTACTTAACCATTTTAATTTACTTGACTCCAAACTAAACTCAATATTTTCACAAAACTAAAGCTAATACTGCTTGATAATCACCTGTAGTGTAGTTTGTTGATTATATGAGAGGAGTCGACTATCTTGTCTGGACTCGAGTCACATCATCAAGGCTGTGAAGAGAGAGAGAGAGACATTACATTACTGTTTACTTATTTAACATAACTAAACAGAAGAACAAATGAACAATATCTTAACTTTGTATATACTAAATTAATACAGAATCTTAACATCTTACTAGTAAACATTAACTTAACGCATCAACTTTATAACAATTAATTAAGATCAAAATGAGATAATTAAGGAAATCGACTATACTGTTGAAGGGCCAAGGGGTCTCTCAGCTGGTACAAGGACTCCCGAAGCAGCTGGTCCCTCTCAGCTGGTGGCGTCTATCAAGCCATCCTTCACCACCACACTGTCAGCCATCCTCCACATCACCGTCACTCCCGCAATAACAAACTTCATTAACTACACGAGCCATAACCTGACTCCTGACGGCATACAGTAGCGAACATTCACCAGTTATTATGAACTGAATTTAA